GATAGTTTTCGAGAAAATAGTCAACCTCAGTAAAAATTTTCAAAAACTATTTTTGCAAACGGCTGATGCTTAACGAGCATGGAACTTACTCTTTGAGATGCGCAACCCCGGATCGGAGGCAATGGAAAATTGCCCCTAGTTTGAAGAACGCCGCACGGCAACGGAAAGTTGCCTCTGGTTTGAATGGCGGCTTGCGACGACTGGTGGCAACAGAAAGTTGCCCCTTGTTTGGATGGGGCCGCAGCAATCCGCAGACAGTCTTCATTGGTGGTGGCCGAACTCTTGGACACAGAGATGACAAAGACGGTCATAACAAATATATGGACACAGTCACCTTGGAAGGTGTTGGCGACCAGACTTTGGGATGAAGTTGAAACCATTGCATGGACTAGGACGCTATGGAAGCGTTGGGGGCTGGACTTCATGATGAAGTTGCCTACGTATCCCAAACATGGGAATCAAGCCTTACGTAGTTCCGGTTAAGGTACACTCGGGTATTTTAACCTTCACTTTTCAGGCTCTAACTTTTGCCAAGGTGCCCGATGCGGGTTTTCGACCTTGCGAGCTCTTCTTCTTTTTCTTTTGTCTATTTCTTTTTCTTTTCTCTTTTTTCTCTTTTTTCTTTTGCTTTTCTTTTTTTGTATTTTTTCATTTTTTTTTATTTCTTTTCTTTTCTTTTCTTTTATTTTTTTCTTTTGCAAATGGTCAGTGTACCATCTCTCTTCTTTTTTTCTTTTTTCTAATTCCATTTTATATTAAAAAAAAAAATTGATTAGTTTTGTTCATTTGAATAATATGTATTGAACATATAATAAAATAAATAAAATTAATTATGACATATAATAGATAAAATTAATTATTTTTTATTAAAATAACATTAAATAAAAAATATAATTTTTTTAAATAATTTTATGACATATAATAAATAAAATTAATTATATATATTAAACGTGTCCCCAGTGTGTCGTGTCCTCCATTTTTTAAAAATTTACGTGTCTGCGTGTCCGTGTCATGTCGCGTGTCCGTGCTTCATAGCTATCTATCAATGCCACTAAACAGCTTTGGCTATTATTATTTCAGAAGAAAATTTTGAAATATGGTTTCAGTTGAAGTTTAAAGGTATGGAAAACTTAGATTAGGGTTAGAGAGAAAGAGAGAAGGAACAAGGAGAGGAAGATTTTTATTTAACGTATGTTCTTAGGTTCTTAAATAAACCTAAAACAAATAGCAAATATTTATATGAAATATAATATGACCATATGACCATAGTACCCTAACTTAAGTTAACTCAAAAAATAACAGATGACTATATTCTAACAGTTTCTATTGGGATAAGATTAATTTCATTGATGAAGGAACCATGCTTTCCCTCTTTTAGGAGTGGTGCTTTTGTTTTAACCCCTTGCCCAGTATCAATTTCTAAGAGATGATTTACTTGGGGTTAGGGATAAACCTATACCTGGTGAGAATCTTAAAGGCCATTACTCCTTGTCTTTCAGAGTCTTGACACTATGGTAGGATGTCGTAAATTGAATGTTTCAAAAGGTAAATTGTCTTGATCATGGGAGGGGGTTAAGTCTTCCAGGGGTAGGAAACTTCAGGGTGGTTTGGGATGTTCTAAATAAGTGCACTTTTTGACTTTTTGGTGAAAAAGTAGAGAAAAAAAAAAGATGTGCGTTTGGGGTAACTTTTTGACTTTTTACGAAAAAATGTGTAACAAAATATTGTAGGAACTACCAAAGTTACTCTTTTACCCACATGTCGGCTCGAGAAGCCTTTTGTTCAAGATGTAATGCGTATTTTGCCTTGCGGTACTCAAGATGTAAAGTTAATTGATGATGTTTGACATTACATTTGATTTATGCACAGCTCTTGTGGACTGCTTGTATTTTAAAATTATTGCTTCCGCATTTGTGAGCCCCGTTTATTTTACTCTGATTGTGTTAAGTTTTGGAAGTTGGCCTTCGGTAATTACGGATTACTGGCCATCACGGCACCCTTTTTGAGTTGAACCAT